AATTGTATTATCTATATTTATAAATTATAATATACTTATCGCTATGCGCGCTCGCCTGGCGGCTACCCACTCCGACTGCAGGCTGCAGCTACTCGCTGGATGTGGAGTATTTTACCTTACCACGTTATGTCTAGTAAACTCGTGTTTGATAATTCCCGAAAACTGCAACTAAACTTTATAAATGCTTACTTTGAAAAATATTTTCTATCTGCATTTTATTTTATAATAAGCGGTATTACATCACTTTACTCTGTGATCTTACGTATTACAATAGGATTACTCTGTCAAAGATTCAGTAGATTGATCTGGACGTTGAAACATAATATATGTACATATCTATGGGTAAAATGTATCTACTGCTACTTAATATTGGTTTTTTCGATGTAAATGAAATACCAAAATAGATTTGCTATGCTGAAAAGTAAAAACAGCTAAATAATTTTAGACGAAAGTTGTCAAATAAAAATGTAGGCAGTCTCGGCGCCACAACACTTGGGGGTACCTATAGATTGAGTATTTACCTATCAATTGAAGTGAGCAGTGAATAGACTGTAAGTGTACAGTACACTCGCAACAAAAAGTGCTACTGATTCTTTATTTTACATATACCTAATTTTATTGGTAACTTTTGGTGTTTGTTTTCTTATAAATTAAAAAAAATATGGTTATTGAACATTGAAGAGGACTTAAGTAAAAGACTTTATATATAAGTGCAACTCTCCAAAACAACTCGAAAAAGACAATGACTTGTTAAAATAAAATATATAAATGAGGGGTCTATGGTCTCCGGTCGGAACGAAGTTCCTTGCGCTTTTTGGTAAACGTTAGCTATACAGTTATAATAATTTATTTTATAAGATATCAAGTTGATAGAGTTCAATTAAAAAATTTACTATAAAATATATTTATTATGTACTAGCAGAACCCGCGGCTTCGCTTGCGTTACATATTTTGTATTTAAAATAATCTCTGTTCTCTATTCTATATAGTAAGTGTGCACTTTCGGAGAACTTGAGCTATTCTGTTTATATATTTCGTAAGGGGAATTGTTTTATTACTTTAAAGTGACTTCAGATATTACTATTGGATATCCCTAGGGATTTTTGGGACGCGGTTGCACCTATAGCAAGAAGTGTCGGAAAAAAGTCTTACAACACTTTTTCCGGTCTCGCTCCCATCCGCTCTGAGCGTGTAGCGATAAGGAACTTCGTTGCAATAAATGTATATTAATTAGCTCCAACGCACGACTGGAGTTTACTCCTTAAGTACCTACGATTGTCTTTGAATATGCAATAGGCAAAATAAACGCATCTCATATAATACTGAAAGCATGTACATTATACCTATGTATTTGTATTCTATTCACATTTTTCATGTTACATAAATGTATATAACACTAGCGGCTCACCCTCGCTTCGCTCGGGTTCACCTCTAGAAAAGCACAAACAGATCTATCCCACGGGAAACGTTCATTTTTACGGGATAAAAATAAGTAACCTGTTGTTTGACCTGCAATATAAGGTATCAGCATGCCAAATTTTATTAAATTAGGTGCATAAGTTGTTGTGTACTGAGCTGTATAAGTTACTATAATTTTTTAACTATCCCACGGGAACTCTTTAATTTTCCGGAATGAAAACAGACAAATAGACATACAGGCAAACAGACAAACAGACATTTTTTTTAATAACTATTGTTTTGGGGTCTATGTTGTGTACTTAATACATTACAATAAAAACAAAAACATCTATACCACGGGAAAAGTACATTTTTCCGGGATAAAAAGTTACCTATTTGTTATTCTGATGTATGAACTATATTATTGTAAAGTTTCATCAAAATCCAATCAGTGGTTGTTGTGTACTAAGCTGTATAAGTTACTATAGTTTTTTGACTATCCCACGGAAACTCTTTAATTTTCCGGGATGAAAAGTAGCTGATTTATTTTTGTCATGTATGAACTATATTATTGTAAAGTTTCATTAAAATCCAATCAGTAGTTTTTGTGTACTAAGATGTATAAGTTGTTATAGTTTTTTAACTATCCCACGGTAACCCTTTAATTTTCCAGAATGAAAAGTATCTAAGATGTTGCCCGGGGATATAAGGTACCACCATGCAAAATTTCATTTAAATAGGTCCAATAGATCCGGAGATTAGCCCGTACAAAGAGAAAAACAGATAAACAGCTCGCTCGGGTTCGTCCATACATACGAATATGTTGTATTATCTCTTTAACCATTTGTCCAAATTATATGCAGTAAAAAGGAAAAGTATTTTATTTTAAACATTTTAGACGATAAATTTACTTATTTTGATAAGAATTCATAACTGTTGATAATATGACCAATAAACATGACCTACCGATTTAAATTATTTTTTTAATATAAAAAACTACTTTTTATGACTTAAATTATAAAAGTTAGACATATGCTGTCGCTGACTTTTTTGTAGGCATTATTAAGCTCTACAACTTTTCTCTAGAAAATAATCATATATCTCTCATCGTTAAGGCAGCGTTCGTAAGAAACGTTTTCATTCGACCGTTTTTTCTCCGACTTACTTTGCAAATGCGACTACCACGAAAAAGCCTTTCCATTTTCGGGTTAATATATAGCCTATGACACTCAGAAAGAACGTGGCTTTCTATTGGTAAAAGAATTTTGAAAATCGGTTCTGTAGATCCAGAGATTACCCCCTACAACGTCACAAACTCACAAACTCACAAACTCACAAGATCACAAACTTTACCTCTTTATAATATTAGTATAGATATAGATATAGTACATGAATACATCAATACTCTCGTCATTATTAATTTCATTCCTTATAAAATTTCCATTTTCCATACCGGGGTCTTATATGAAAATCGATTCTTACGGAGTAAACTCCAATAAAAATAAACTTCACATAATATATATTACAATATTAAATATAACTACGTAAAATATTAGGTATAAGATTACATAAGTACAGTATTAGACTATGTTGTTGATTTCTTGTTATGCATATAAAGTATAATTCATATAATGTAGTTACGAACATATATTATTTATTATATTACCATATTACTAAGTTACTACTCTTGGATTTTTATGTTGAAATGTGTGACATAAAATATGAACATCTTTGAGCCGATAGCGTCCTCTTACTGGTATATAGGCAGGTATCACTTTAGCTCCGAGAAGTCATATGAAAACTACGATATCAACACAATAGGCCGCCTCAATGCCTTCCTGTGTGCTCTACAGTCTACGCTATCGATACCCAGCCGACGCTCAGACAAACAGACCTAGCGTGCAATATAGGATGTATTTCACTAATAGCTTTTAGTTCTTACAGCCAGAATTGGAAAAAATTGGAAAACCACAATTGGAAAAAAATTCCCACACGCACAAAATAGGCGCGCAGACGTCGAGTTGCGGAAACAAGCCCGTTTATACCATACCATACCATATTACAGCCAGAAATGGTAAAAATGGTACGAAATAGAAAATTTAAGTAAAACAATATCAAAGTAAACATGGCAAACAGATAGTAAAACTTCTATATTTCCAAGATTTTTGACGACATGCATATTATGATGTACATTGTACACTCTTGAGCGATTTCGGTCACAGCGACTGGTTCAATTTTGGAGAGATAATAATTACAGCAATAACGAGTGTAGTGTAATAGGTACTTAGTTTATTACTAATATAATATAGCGGGCGTCGACGCGAAATTGTGGGTTTTAATTATATCTGTACATTTAAAAAAAACTTGCCGAATTTCAATGACGAAGTTATTCACAAAACAAAATTATTTGTTTTGTGAATAACTTCTGTAATAATGGTTTGTGTATATATAGCTACTTGTAAAAATAAATTATTATAATTCTAGATTTTCCACGTGGCTCCACTCGTGTGCCACGTCACAGGTCCGTCGAGCTCAAATTAGCTTATGTTAGTAATTAAACAGAATATGAACCTCCTTTCTGAATTTCAATTGCATCTGTCGAGCTCTTACAGCGTGACGAAGTGGATAATGAACATACAACCTCGCTGAGTCACAACCTTTCGCATTTATTAAGACTATTGTGATAAAAAATTCTCGAATCATCATAATTTCTCAAATTAAAAAATAATTTTAGATCTTTTTCTAGATACCTGTCCTACGTCGTACCTGCCACAGAGTAGCGATTAGAAGTTAATTGTGTCTCTTTATAAAACTTGTAATAACATAATCGCGAGTGTGGCTCCGCGCCGGCGCTCGCCCGAGCGTGCCACTAATTATCACATTTTAGCTAAATAGTTAATGTTTGAGTAATTATATCCACGCGTCGCGGGGGGCGAGGTGGACGCCCCCGCGGGCCGCCACGCCGCCTGCCGCTGGAATATTCATGTGTAATATTAATATAGCGTCTGACCTAGACCTTTTGACCTTCCCACCGCTTAATAAAGTATTTACGTTACGTCCAGAGATGGCGTTGTACTGCCACTGATGTAACAATTTCGAGCTTTAACCCACTTTTAAGCAAACGGATTACTAAAAAGCAACATTTACCCTAGTGTTGTTTTATGAAAACGTACGGACAGATTTATTTAAATTTTTGAGTCGATTGATGTTATATATGATATGTAGATACTGCGTTTAGTTCATGTATTTTGTAAACATCATTTACTCTAAATTTAATATGATCATATGCTGGCGCTTTAGAATTTTTAAGATCAAAAATATACCTAGTTTTTACTTATCTATTTGGCAGTGCCTTCAGCGCATTCAGTCTGTGGATTACGTTTCATTCGTCTCAATCCTTTGTTTTGGCTACACCTGATACTATCTAATGTCTATAAAAATACCTACAGATGGTAAAGTAATTATACTTACCTACTTATACCAGGAAAATCCAATCAGCGTCAAAATATATGAACTAATTATTATTAATTCTATTTAATACCTAAATCAAGTTTTATCAAAATTTCATAAACAAGTAATTTATTATTATAATCACAATCACAATGTTCCGAGCATGCGGTCACCAGATGCCGGACGTGTTCGATAACATCCTCGTATACACAAAAATTCGCGCCACGCAAATCGTACTCATTTTATCAAGGGACTTCACATTAACAGCACACCAGTAATTGATATCTGTAAATACGAACTTGCTTATCCCGACTGAATCATCAACCGAACTGAGTCGCTGGAACGAAAGTTCTGAGCATTTTGAAAGGCTATTCTTGTAACACGGGCTCTACTCTGCTCTACACCTAGCACGGCCAGGGACTTTACTTATGTAGATTGTAATATTTTGATTTGTGATAATAAGGTCAGAAATTTTATGAAATATCGCACTTAAAGAAATATAAAGAAGTGGAGAAGTTTGTAGTTTGTAAACGAAACAACATTATTTATCTTAAAACAAAAAAGGAATGTTTACCAGTAGTTTATTTTAAATATCTATCTGTGTAATACAATCTAGTCTACTCGAAGGAAATAAAACGCTCCTGGTAACTTATTCCATAGATGTTCCGCTTTTTGTGCAAGTTTTATTGAAACTGCTGGACACGATCGCCGCAAACGCCGAAATACTGATAGGCACCAGATGAATACTAACAACGTCTAATAACAAGTGTCTCGTTGAATTTTATCGAATTGAAATTATATGCAGGTACGTGCGGACTAACACTGTTGTCCTTCGTCCTACCAGGTGCTTGTTTTCTTTCGATTATGAGTTAAATATATAATAAATTGCATATTCAGAATATAGAGCGCTATTGATTGTTGTTGCCGTGAGTCATACATATAGTATGTTGACGTGAAGTTAGTGTGAAATAAAATAATATTCTGTGTCTATTTCTCTCATAAAAAATGCTCTGAATTAAATTTTATAGCAAAAATAATGGCGTCTCTACATAATAATAAAGATTGACTTCTTACACATTATGAGAATAATAATTTTATTGTTAAACGTACTCGTCCCGCACCAAATAAACGGTATTTTTACAGCTGATGTTTAGTCGCTAAGTGAGACGACGATTGATTATCAAGTATAAGATATTATTTGTACATTTTGTTAGTGTCAGGTACTTAAATAACTATACGCAGCCCTTAAAATTATTGTGTGTATTTAAAACATTTTTTTGTTATTGTGTATTTAAATAAGATAATAAAATCGTAAAACAGAAAGTAAAATGCACTCTATTTCAGAAACCATATAATAGGTTTTTATATATTTAGAGAATAGCCCCATAAGTCGGCTCGTAGTCGTATTATAGCGGCTAACACCGCCATTGTCGCGTAATCCTCTTAAGATTATAATCTCTGCTGTAACTGCGGTTACGATAACTAGCAACAAAAACATCGGCGTGTTTAACGCACAGCGCCCGCGGCCGCGTCGAGACGAGCGCTACGTAGTACGTACGATTTGAATGATAAAACTTTGGTATCCATCAGCATACGGTAGGTATCTACACACAAGTGTAATATATTTTAATTATAAAAGAACATAGAAATATTATTCATAAGGTTTTTTTTTATTTTTTGTTTTATATTATTCGTAGACAAAAGTAAAAAATAATTGCTTTAAATAATTTTCGACCATTTAATTAACACATGGGGGAAACCTAAGTACTTACCCAACTTTAAAAAAGGCTGACTCAGCCGAATGAAGAGCGCCTGCTCTTAATTTGTAGAGTTGCTTGTAATATGTTTTTATTTCCTTTCTTTAATGAATACGTTTGTAATAAAATCAATAAAGGTTAAAAGATTTTTTTTTCAAAACCTCTTAAAGATACTCTACTACTACGATACTAGATATGAATATTATATTTTTGCTAAGTAAATTTTTTTTTTCAATACAATTAATATGGAGGAAAAGATAAACTAATAAGTTTAAAACCTTTTGTGCTGTTCACTTATACCTATCCGGCCGGACTGGTTTTCTCCTGAAGGGATCTTTTTTCTAAAATACTTAGGTACTAAACTTAATCTGCTGATTTAAAGTAGATCCAATGATGTACTTCATGTTCCCTCAAGCTCCTACTTGAATGTAGTTTTCATATAATCGTAATAAAAGCCCGCGCAAAGCCGCTGGCAAACTTTAGTTAATTTATTTAATAAACAGTGATACACATTTAATACATTTGAGAAAAGATGAAAACATGACTATGTTTGACGACGGACCTGACATCGACAGAGACAGACAGACTATTGTTATCTCTGTTGTATTTTACTATGATAATATCTACATTCACAGATTAGTAATTCCATAAAAATAAATTTATGATGATAACATAACAATAGCCGCGTCGTTTGTGGCCGTGGATTGCGTCATCGGAGCGTGAAGTATGCGCGCCGCGCGGGCTCGCGAGTGTGTCCGCCGCGCGTGAGCCAGTCCACCCCGGCCACCCCCGCCGCCGCGACCGCGGTGTCCGACCACCCTGAATCTCTTTAATCCCTCCACGACCGCGGACACGCTGACGTTACAGTTAACAATATATTTCTTAGAAATTTAATTAATTTCTTAGAAATTTACCTGGAGGTGTTAATTTGGTATCGGAACTCCTTGAGCGAAATAAGCTTAATCTATTAAAGAAAACAGTATTCGTGTCGCGCGCAGCAGTAGGTAAATGCCGCTCACATATTATGTATATACATACATATGTATGTAGCTCCATGCACCATGATTCGTCACAGTACTGAGCTCAATTTGACCATCATTCTGGGGATAGAGGAAGAAAGCAATAACTTTTTTTCTTATCGGTAATAAACAGCTGATCGTTAAGGCATTACAAAATTTGTTTCGCATCAAAATAACTAACATTCAGAGATTAATCATTCAATTACTTGTTTGAAAGATAAGGAAAGATAATATTTTTTAAGAATCCACTATTATAATACACTGATCGATCTTAAAATGAGTATAGTGAAGACGTCACAGTCACCCTCAGAGCGTCGCGACGAGATCAGCTCTTTCCTCATTCAACATTCAAACTATATCTGTTTAATCTCGAAAACGGCTTCAGCGATTTTCATGAAATTTAGGATGCAGGGGGTTTCGGGGGCGATAAATCGATGTAGATTAGTCTTATGTCTGAGAAAACGCGTATTTTCGAGTTTTCATGCAGTTTTCTTTTGTTATTCCACACAAAATATAGTCGGTAATTTGCAAGCTTCGTGGTCAAGCGGCCAAGGTGCAAGATCAACAATCACAGGTGTCCAGGTTCGAATCTAGGTCGCATACAGAGTTTTAACTTTTTTTTTTTATATTTATTCAAAGTTTTAGTTTTTTTTTAAAAAGACGCAAGATTGACAATCATAGGTGTCTGGGTTCGAATCCCGGTCGAATACAAAGGTATAATTTATTTTTGTTTTTTTTTGTATTTATTCAAGTTTTTGGTTTTTTTTTAAAGAAAATTGTAAAAAGAGTTTTTGGGTTTAACGATATGTACTTTAACGATGGAAATGTTTTTGATGTTTTCAAGTAATCCTTTTTAAAAAAAGGGTCAAGCCAGTTAAATACCTTTTTAACAAAATAAAAAACAATGCATTTTGATATAAATACCTTCAAGATATTAATTTAATGAATAGATATATCGAAATAGATTTGCTATGCCTTGCGCCGCGCCGCGCCGACTGGCACCGACCTCAGAGCTATCATAACTGTTCACTGATTAGGTATCTATTGTGTGTAAAGTAGGCTTATATTATTTTAAAAAGTTTTTGATTATATACATGCTTACAGTACATCCATTGATCTGCTCAAGTGTTTCCGTCAGTAAGTCTAGATAATATGCCACGAAAACACACGGCAGTAGTAGCTTTTATCAATCTTGGACTTACTATCTCTATGTTCTAAATTCCGTTTATCAAATGCTTTAGTGTTTACTGCTAGGAACAATAAATCGCGCTTTATTTATACCTTTTTGTACAATATATATATACATAATAGTATTCTATTCATCCAAAAAAAAATACGAAGTAACTAAAACTATGTAGTTATTAGCTATAATATTAGTATGGATTAAGGGTGACTGTATCGCCATTGAAGATACTAAATCCTTTTTAAGTTTTTGTTTTTATGTTATTGTAACATTAGGTAGATTAGATGGATTGATTTAGAATTTAGATTTATATCGACAAGACTTTAACACTTTTTCATGTCTAAGATTTTCTCTGGAGAACTGAGCGTTTCGGTGGCATAAGGGATAGGCTTGGCTAGGGAAGTTTATATCTTGTATAAATTTTAAAGGGTTCCCTATATAAAATGTCGGTAACGTTTGACCATCTGATCATCTTTCCCCATATAAAAAACTAATTTTATTTTTCTTTGTACAAATTTCTTTCGTGACTTTATAATGCGAGCTCTAAAATATTTATATCTACAAAAAAACTGGTTAAGTAGAAATCAGACCCGCGCCAAGAGTCAAGTTACAACAACTTTTCAATATGTTTTAAGTCCTAATTTAATTTTTATAGTCTTATTTTTTTAAATTTTATACTGGAAATATTTTAGTCAACGGTCAAGGTGATTACACGCTAGTAGGTAGATACTGGAAGATGGTGTTAGAGATAGGAGCCTCCAGTGCACTCTTCTGTCGTTTTAATTATACATTAACATGACACGTTTATTAGTTGCATCCCCTGGTGAGTGCGGTGACATCACGGTGCAGTCCTGACCCTCGCACCGAGGCCGGCCGTCATTGTCACGAGCCGGTCACATTTACACCATCCTTAAATATATTTGTTTACTCTCAGCAGTCAGCACGCATTACATATTTGTCGACATCAATTCTGTAATATTTCCGGTCAGAAGCTTACGGCACATATTATGTTGTCGTTGTAACAGGATTATATTACTTAACCATATGCTAAATGAAAAAAATACATAAATTATATGTTCTTCTTATTATATCTATATATATAGGTCTATTGTAAATACGCTTATTTATTTGCTTACAGTTAAATATGTATAATAAAACTCACGAATGTAGTCAAATATATTTGAATATGAGACTTCCGTGTTTATTGATTACTAAATATTTATCTTTTATTTATTGTACGACTTTCGGATACCTACATATAGTATATAATACTTATAATAGCAGGTGTCAGTTAGCAAACAATACCTAGCGGTGAGTGGCTGCAACAGTCAGATGAAAACAATTTTTTGATTTGTATATGTGAGTGTCATAATTCAGAGAGCGACACCTGGTGACCTGACTGCCAGCATCACACTAGCATTGACACAACTACTGTGCGCATATAAATCATATACACCATAGTTATAATATACAAACATTCGGTTGAGTTATTGTTTTACGATAAGTTGCGACAGATGTTTTAACGACTCATTTACTCATTTAGTTCAAATAATAAATTAACTCAACTGTTATTGTAAAGACTCAAAGAGTACTTAACTTTCTCTTCCGATTTTACGAGTACTATGAGAAGGGACCATATATTGCACACCTGTCCCCTAGATATGTACATTGTATATAGTACTTTACAACTAATGCAGCGATAGCCCAGTGGTAACGCGCTCGCTTGAGAAACCGAGTGAAACAGCTTCAAATCCCGGATCTCTCGCACCTCTTATATATTTTCATGTACCAATCATTCCCAAATTGACAGTTAATTAACAAAAAAATAAAAACCGACTTCAAACAAAAGCACTTAAAAGTAAAAAATAACTGATTGGTAGTTTTCATTTACTATACATACCTAATCAAATATTTTCGAAGTCGGTGTGCTTTGGCTGAGTAAATAAAGCCTACCTATTAAATACATACCTAATCAAATATTTTCGAAATCGGTGCCAGCCCATACAAAGCAAAGCACACCGACTTCGAAAATATTTGATTAGGTATGTATAGTAAATGAAGACTACCAATCAGTTATTTTTTACTTTTTAGTGCTTTTGTTTGAAGTCGGTTTTTATTTTTTTGTTAAAAAGTTTTTATTTTTCCCTTTTTAGTGTAGACAGTAGTAGCAAAGTAAGAATTCTAACGTATTAGGCTTGTCAAATCAAACAAAACAAGCCCAAACTCAAAGTATCTACTATTAGCCGTTGAAGAGTTCCACCTATCCACCTTCTGGCCTTACCATCAGATCAGGTCAACAATACCGAACCACTGTACTATCAACGGAAATAGAAACACTTGCAAAGTTTCAAGTTATTATGACAATTAGAAGTAGGTTAAATTCATCACTAGCTATTTTTCCACCCTTAGGGGTGTTATTTTGTTTTGAAATTTAAATGGAACCAATCTGGAAATATACCCTTTCAAACAAAGCAAAAATTGTCCAAATCGGTTAATAAATGACGAAGTTCTGAGGTAACAAACATAAAAAAAATACAGTCGAATTGAGAACCTCCTCCTTTTTGAAGTCGGTTGAAAAGTAATTGAAAAAGGATAAAATAATTTAAAAACCCTCGACTTAAAAAATAAATGTAACGCAAGATAAACTCAAGCATATCCGTCGGGGGCTGCCATTATGAACTAGTTTTGCAGTTTTATAGTAACGTGAATAATTTGAGATTTTTTAGCGCTAACTTACACCTTTGGGTAGGCCGTGCCCCTACAGTGGGGACCTTTAGAATTTGATGATGATAATTATTTTTATTTACGATGAAATTTAAAATAGTGATGGCACCTATTTAGGAACCCTCACTAATCAATTACAAGCCCATTACTGAAAACCGCATCAAAATTGGACTAGTAGTTTTGGTTTTACACAAACAAATATTTATCACACCTATCTAAGAACATTCACCAATCAAACCCGAACCCATAACTGAAAACTGCATCAAAATCGGACTAGCAGTTTTGGAGAAAAATGGCAACATGGATTTGCACAAACAAACAAACAAACAAACAAACAAACAAAGAAACATCCTCTCACTCCAAACGCATATACCTACCGTCTCCGTTCCGTCGTGGGTAATAAATGCAAAATTTTTGTGAATGAATTAAGATTTTTATCAACCTTCATAACGTGCAGGATCGTGGACAAAAACAGGTTTATTCATTTTGAAACTATAAGTACTATGTATTATATATTCTGTGCTGTAGGATCATTCTCCGAAAATTGAGGTATTCATATTTAAACTTTTATTATACCGTTCATATTCTTTTGTAATTTTAACAATAAAAACTGATGGAAAGGTTTCGTTTTTTTGTATAAATTTCAATTAACATGGATAATTTGTCTTTATCTAAATAGGTACCGCTTGACCGAGAGAACTCCACTTTGGTAATGAATCAATTATAATACATTTCACCGACATTCATTAGAAAACATTATACTAACTTAACTGTTACGCCGGCAATTATATGCTATTTAAGTAACTAAATCTTATGTATTTAAACGAGAAATTCTTGTATATATAATAAGTACCTGGGCCACCGAGCTTCGCTCGAAGCTTTTGGTCAAAAGTACAATTTTCTT